AACCGAGCGTCCACCTGTGCGCGGGTCACCTTGAGTCCTCTTCACCCGTTCCTTCCGGTATAGAGGGAGGTGGGGCTCGCCCCAGAGGGTGATTGCTGGAACTCTGGGCTGGAGCTTGGCTTTCACCTTCACTAGGGACTGGCTTCGCGTAGGCCTCAATTTACTCAAAAGGAAAAACCTCCCTGCGTTTTTGTCGGGATTAAATTTATTAATTCCTTTCTTCAACAAATAATTATCAAGCACCTACTTAAGGCAACCACAAAGGGTTGTGCAGGCTGTGCACTGCGCCAGGGTGCCTGGCCCAGGCCATCTTGTTAACTCGTCAGGGCTGCATCTCCCCCAAAGGTGTCTTTTACTAACTAGTTTACCATACTGCTAGTGAGTGGTGTCCCTGCCAAGGCTGAGGCTCTAATCTAGTTTGCTACTGAGATAAACAGTACATTAAGCACCAACTGTGTGCCGCATACCATTCTAAATGCTGGGGCTTCATCTAATGTCAGTAAAACTCTTGGCAAAGTAAGTAAGCGGTAACTGGTGCCTGCAATGAGATGCATACAAGGGCTACCCAGATATTCCCCCCCCCCCACCCCCCAGGGCAGGGCTTCCCATGAAACTTGTCTTTCCCCCTCAGAAACCACAGGGCACAGGTTGGGCTGGGAACACCTTTTATTTAGCTGCATGCAGCAGGAGCAGAATCACAGCACAGCTGTCCCTCCAGCAGGAGGGAGAGGCAGGAGTGAGGTTGGGCAGGCGGGGTGGGGGGGTGTTCTGGGAACGGCAGTTCCAGGGGTGGGATAGGGGCTTGGGATGTTTTCCAAGCCACAGGGAAGGTGATCTGGGCATGGAGGTGGACGGGTGGTCCTTGAAAACCTCCCACTCATCTCATCCAGGGCTTACACATCCTGGCTCTTAGAATCAGGGTCTAATCCTGCCCCCCACCTGCCCTGGGTTACCATGCACAGGACTCCAGGGGTCTTCTGGAGATCCTGCCTCCACCTGATACCCATCTGACTTCTGACTTCTCGGGCTTCATCGATAATGAGGTCAGTCCAGACCTGGCCTGGACCCCAACCCATCTTGGGCCTGCCCATCTCAGGCCAGGCCTGAGCTTGGCGGGCAGAGCAAAGAGCTTGGGAGGGGCAGAAGACAGGCCAGCACAGCTCCTCTTCTGCTCCCAGATCTGCCTGAGCTATGTGGTCACCTCCCAGCATCTGCACGATCTAGGCCAGGCACAGGCTTGCCAGATGTCTTGACTGTCCTTGCTCTGAGGGCCCCCAGTGTAGACAGGGAGAAAGGGCCCAGGAGGGGAAGGTAGGAGATTTGGCATCTGAGCTTGGAGACCACTCTCGGAGGAACCTGGGAGAACATCCTGTACCTCCCCAACCTCAGGGGCCCCATCTCTTAAAGGAGCCCACGCAGGCCTCCCCTGCCATCACTCAGGCTGAGACCTGGGGCAGAGCGCTGGCCCCCATGGCGTGTGAGGCTCCACAAAATAGGCAACTGAGGGGCAAGGATGAACCAGGAGGTCTGGGGGAGCCCGGCCCCCCTCCCCTTCCCTAACCCAGCCCTTCTCTGAGAGCAGTTTACCAGTCGGGGTTTGGCGGATCAGGGCTTGGGGGGCGTCAAGGCAGTGGGGGCCCGATGGTGATGCTGCTGTTGGTGACCCTCGGGCCGTACCAGCCGGCCCAGTAGTGAGTGTCCACGCCGCCGTGCTGAAACCAGATGTAGCGGACGCCAGGTGGGTAGTTGGAGAACGTGTGAGAGACCTGGCGGCAGGTGGAGGGAAAGAGGTCAGGGGCCAAGGTCTTCATGCTGGCCCAGCAGTCAGCAGAACTGAGTTCTAGTCCTACTCTGTGATTTTGGGCAGACCCCTTCCTCTCTCTGCCTCAGTTTCCTCATCCGTAAAATGGAGCAGAGTCCTCCTGGGTCCGTCCACTCCACAGGATTGCCTAAGCGCAGCTCAAAGGAACTGAAGGAAAGTGAAAGAGGTCCAATACAGTCATCACTGCGCACGCGTGGCTATTTCAGTTAAAATTAATCAAAACTAGAGAAGATTAAAAATGTAATTCCTCAGTCACACTAGGGACTAGCTCTTATTAAGTGTTCGATAGTCACATGTGGCTATTGGTTACATAGACCATTTCTCCTGGACAGCACTGGTCTCAATTGGCAAACTACGGCCTAGGGGCCCACTGCCTGTTTTTGTAAATGAAGGTTTACTGGCACACAGCCATGTCTATATAGCTGCTTTCACAACGCAATGGCCCAGCTGAAGGGTTGAGTAGAGGTGATAGAGACAGCAACGTCTGCGAAGCCTAAAATATTTGTGTCTGCTGCCCCCTGGTCTAAATAGTAGGAATAACCGATATTAGTAACTAGAACCCGCCAACCTTTTGAACATGGCTTTACCAGCATCATTTCGCTGATGTCTTTTCAAGCTCGAGCAGCTGGTGCCCAGGTGAGAAGCAGCAGAGCTGGGATCTGAACCCAGGCCCATTTGACTGCAGTCTCAGCCTTGGGCAATATGCCACCTGCCCTCTTCCCAGTTCACATACCTCCCTCCACTTGGCATCGCTCTTCTGCTGGATTGTTGCCGGGTCTGGCTGGAAGGTCCCCAGCGGTGCATGTGCTGACGACAGGAGCTGAACACACAGCTGGTACTTGGACCCGCAGTCTGGCCTGGCTGCGAACCTGCATGCAGAGGGAGGGCCCATCAGGGCCTTGGAGATGGGGGGCAGGGTGGGGGCGGGGCGCCTGAGTGGCAGGCCCCCCTCCCCCAGGCCCTCGCCCCAGGCACTCACCAGTCCTTGACCTCGATGTCCGGCCGTGTGGTGTCCATCAGCTCCTCCCAATACCCTTCGGCCTTGAGGTCCACCACCTGGGACTTGAGGCAGGTGCTGGGGAGGGCGGGCGGAGGGGTGGGAGGGGCTGGGGCTCAGCACTAGGGCACTGGGGGGTTAGGGCTGCCCCTCTCAGGGGCAGGAGATCCCTGGGTGAAGTGGCTTGGGCTTCCCCCCACCCCAAGACTTCCCCAGCCTCAGATCTTACTAATAAGAAGTCACGAAGTATTTCTTGACCTGATCATTGGGGAATTCCTTCCTCTGGTCTCCAGAGAGGTTCTCCACCTTCCACTCATCGCCTCCATTCACATCCAGGCTCCAGAATTCAAAGCCCTCTGGCCAGAAAGCAGAACTCATGTCATAGGGAAGCCCCTCAGTGGTCCCTTTCTCACAAGTGCCCCTTCCTCCTGGATCTGCTCCCTGGATCTCTGCAGCTACCCTCAAGCCTCACGCTGTGGGATGCTGTTGATCAATAGTAGCTGTCTTTTTTTTTTTTAACTTAAAAACTTTCTTTTTAATGTTTATTTATTTTTGAGACAGAAATAGAGCAGGAGTGGGGAAGGGGAAGAGAGAGGGGGAGACACAGAATCTGAAGCAGGCTCCATGCTCCGAGCTGTCAGCACAGAGCCCGACGCGGGGCTCGAACCCACCAACTGTGAGATCATGACCTGAGCCGAAGTTGGACGCTTAATGGACTGAGCCACCCAGGCGCCCCAATAGTAGCTGTCTTGTATTAGGTGCTTCCTGTGTGCCAGGCACCATGGCAAGTGATTGCCACTGGGATTCCCAAGACATGCGAGCATGGGAGTGACCAGATCCCTTCTGTGATGGAGAACGCTCTGATGCCAGAGCCAGCCAGATCTGGAGGTAGTCCCAGCTCTACCAGTATGAGGCTGTGTGACCCTAGATACGTTGCTTTCCCTCTCTGAGGCCTGGTTTTGTCCTCTGTAAACTGGAGTTAAGAACAAGAGCTGGCAAACTTTTTCTGCCAAGGGCCAAAAGAGTTTAGGTTTTGTGGGCTACATACTATCTCTATTAGTCTTTATTTTTATTTTTTTGATATATAACCATTTAAAATCACAAAAGCTAGTTTCAGCTCCTGGGCCAGGTGTGGCTAATGGACCATAGAGTGCCAAGGTCCATGGTCATGGCCACTGGGGAGTCAAGTGAGGCAGGCATCTGAAAGCTCTGGACAGCTTGGAGTTATTTCATTGTCATTTTGCTCCAGAATTTGGTCATATACTAGAAAATGAGGTTCCCATCCCATCCCCTCCCAGTGCCTGGCCAATGAGTTACAATGCAGTAAGAGAAAAAGAGAGCTCTAGGTGATGTAGAAATTTTGTTTTACCTGTTGTTGTAATATGCTGGAAAGAAGAGTGGATCTCTCATCCTCCCATGAATAAAGTCCCCTTTGCACTCTGGGGCAGTCCTAGTACGCCTAGCCCTGGAGTCTGGGATCCAGGCCAACAAATTATGGCTCTGATTTCCTGGTCTTGTGTCTTGGGCACAAGTAGTCCTGACTGGTCAACAGTCCCTCACTGGGGAAATAATCTTAAGAGTGGAATGCAAAATGCCACTCTTGGCCTCAGTTTGCCCATCTGAAAAATGCGAGCATTAACAGCACCTACCTCTTGGGATTATTTTGGGAGGATTAAGGAGTTAAGCCATCCAAAGTGCCTGGTTCATAGTAAATGCGTAATGAAAGTCAGCTGCTGTCACAGCCGTGTGTGTGTGTTGGGGGCAGGCCAGACCCACCCTACATCCCACCTTCAGCACATGGATTGTGTAGGAGATTCCTGTGGAGGCTTCGTAGGAAGTAGAAGATCTTCCAGTCGGCCACAGGCTGGTCCCAGTCCTCGGTGATGAAGCCCTCACGCAGGCACTTGCGCTTCCAGAGGGTCACCAGGTCGATGAGGTCTCGCCAGAGGCTGCAGACCAGGCGACAGCGCAGGAGCAGCTGGCGGGCGGGCACGTGCGTGAACAGCTCCAGCAGGATGTTCTCAGGGAGCTCATTGATGTTCCCCACGGCCATGGCTTGTGGCTTCTGGACAACCCCCTGTGGTTATTGAGAAGCTACCCTTCAAAGCCGACCCCTTCCCCCAGAACAGAATATTTGCAACACCCCATGGTGGTGGAGGTTCCCATCCCAGCTCTGCCATTTGCTGTCTCGGGAAGTTCACCGAGCGTCTCCGAGCCTCAGTTTCCTCCTCTGAAAAATGGGACCAGGAACTGTACTAAAATGGGTTCAAATGCCGTGACACAACAGATGCTCAATAAATGGTAACTGATTTTACTGCCACCACCCGACAGCCTCTAAAAGACGCTAAGGAGGCCCAGAGGGGTGCCAGTACCTGCCCAAGGTCATATAGACAGAGGAGGGAAAGAGTCTTCTGATTCTAGAGCCGGCCTTTTCCAATAAGCAAGTCTTTACAGTGTAAATAACAATGCGCAGCCCCGCAGAGCACTCCAGCAAGTCCTCCAACGGAGGAGGGAGAGAGATTGGGGGCAGGGGGGATAATTATCCTGGTGTCTGACGGAGGTCTAAAGAGCTCAAGCGACTTTCTCAAGGCCGCAGAGTAAATGA